TGTATTTATTAGTGACATAAGTACAATTATAGTACTAAAATACTATTATGTTCAACCACATTTAACAGTTTGTAATAAAAAAACAAGACACAATAATTTCTGTGTTTGTTTCAAGAAATCTACATTTTTATGTTTGACTTTTGAATTTTTGTTTAATGTGTACAATAATTTATTTTAGCAAGATTATTTTCAAGTTGTTGAAGGAAATTTATAAGAAAAGATATTGACATGTAAGATGAGTCAAAATGCAGCATAGATTATCCTCACATTAATTTATTTTTCAATGTGTATTTTTATTGAATTTTGTGAATTTAATACAATACATTTAAATCATAGTCCTCCACTAGCTACACCCTCCCATAACCCATCAACCAGATTTCATTCACTCTGTCATATACGATAAGACCTATCAAGCCAAGTTTACATCCCTAGATGTCCCTTGGTGTGAGTTAACTGGAGCCTTTTCAGCCCATATAGTGTCACTCCCTTAAAGAAGACTGACTTTTTTTTATTCACTTGAAAATATTAAACATAGAAAGATTTTAACACTTTTATCTTGTGCTTTCAGTATTTTTCTATTGCCATCACATCTATATCCTTTTTAGCAATAGTGATACAGAAAGAATATAGATCTGCTTAGAACTTTGCTATGAATCTATGCATTGCTGAAAAACAACAATTCTGTTTGAGAAGTTAGCATGGATTTAAATCAGAGCTTAGACTTAATTAGGCATTATGGCAAAGCTTTTCTTTGAGAACTGAGGTGTCAGTGTTCTTTAGGTTTCCTTTACTCTTTCTGCTTACCAAAGACTAGCTGTTTTGCTTATATAATCATTGCTGAATGCTATTCTTAATAAAGTATGTGTGATCTCGTGTGTGTGTGTGTGTGTGTGTGTGTGTGTGTGTGTGGTGTGTACAGAGGGAGAAAGCAGGACAGAGAGATGAGAGAGGAGAATTATTTAAATGAATCAATTTTTGTCCTTTTACTGGGTAGAATTTCAGAGAAACAGACAATTGCCCCTTTTACTTTTACAGAAAAATAGTACTCAATAGGTATGTTGATGTTTTATTTTTGCATTTTAAAATACCACTAGTAGTAACTTAAAGAAAAAATAACATTATGAGAGTTACTTGCACATGGCAAGTCCAAGTAGAAAACCAGTCTCCAAATAAAATGTCATCACTGTACATAGGCATGTAATATAGAACATTCATTCTACAAATCTGAAAACAAAAATAAGTTGATTGTACTCTTGTACTAAAGCCAACAAAATACCAAATAGATGAGAACTGGGGATAAAAGAGTCTAATCCTATGTGAACTGATACATTTTTGTGTCTTGGCATTTTGGTGTTTTTTATACCTGTATCTGTGCTTTTTAATTCATCACACTCAGCAAACCAATCGCATTAACCCAGTATTTACAAACTACTTCTCCACATTTTAGCTACAATGCAAAAGCGTCTGAAAAAGGAGAAAAAAGCAAAGAGAAAACTGCAGGAAGCCTTGGAATTTGAATCAAAGCGCAGGGAACAAGTGGAGCAGGCACTTAAGCAAGCTACAGCTAGTGACAGTGGTCTGAGGATGCTGAAAGGTAATGTCTAACTAGGACTTTCACTTGCAAAGTAACTAAATGAAAACCTTATCTTAAGGAGACAGAGGGAGGGATAGGGACACAGACCAGGAGAGGTAGAAAGGAAGAAAGTGAGTGAGGTAGAAGCTTTTTGAAGGAATAGTTTTAAAATGAACTTTAGATCAAGTTGTTTAAATCATGAATCAAATCAAAGTAGCCAGTTTTTTCTGGGAGATATAAAAATCCTGGGAGAATCTTATCCTGGGAGATAGGTGCTTTTTGTTGTTAAATGCTGACTGCATCAACGTTAAGGTCTATAGGGAGACTGAAAAGAAACGTTCCATATAAATCTTTAGAGATCTGCATGAAAAGGTGCTTGAATAAAGTGATATTTTAATTCCAGATGCCTCTAATTTCATTCTAACTTTTGTATTCATCTAAAATTGCTTGAATTGATTCAGACACAATTTGAAGTAGATTTTTAAATTAAACACACACAGGGGGGAGAGAGAGAGAGAGAGAGAGAGAAAGAGAGAGAGACAGAGAGACAGAGAGAGACAGAGAGAGACAGAGAGACAGAGAGACAGAAACAGAGACAGAGAGACAGAGACACTTACATCATACTCACTAGCTAGATTAAATAACCTGAGAGCATACTAGTAACATATTTGCCCCTAGAATCAGCCTTACCTAAGAAAACACATTGTGATGTGAATATTGCATATTGGTCTTCACTTGTTCTTAACATAAACCAATATCCTATGTAATATCCTACAAATGAAAAATGCACTGTAAGGAAAGGGCACTTTCACTTAATCAATAAAATCAATATTTTCTTGTTCTGTGGTCATAATATGTTAACAATTGTTTTGAGTTACATAAATATGTACATACATACGTACTTGTTATTTTCCTAGAATATATCTTTAAATTATCAAATGATGAAGGATATTTTGGCTATGTACCTGGAAATATTTACTTAACTGTATAATTCAGGTATAGTACATAAACTTCCTTCTTGCCATGAACAAGGCTCACTCAAAAACAATAAAAGAAAGGGGAAAAAAGAAGGAAAGGAAGGGAAAACAGAAAACAATACAAAAAACACTGCCCAGTGTCTTGCATTATCTATAAAGTAAAGTATTGGCTTACTGCAGTTTTTTCTTAGGTGGAATCTGGAAACAGAGAATTGTACCTTAATTCTTAATGCCAATTCTTTCAGATACTGGAATTCCAGATATTGAAATAGAAAACAGTGGAACACCTCATGACAGTGCTGCTATGCAAGGTACTGTAAAGAGCTTAGTCCTTCCTACTAGTGCTTAAAGTGTGACACCAGGGGGCAGGGTAGCTATGAGCATCTGTGCTGATAGTCTTCACAGAAGTAAGTTTTGCTCTTCATATTCTATGACTTAAGAAGCAGCCATAGTGGTTTATAGTGAAGAAAAACATATATATGATAATGACTTTGAAAACAGCCATATAACATTAATTGGGGATTTCATATATACAATGTGAGCAAAGTTCTTCCATGTTTAGCTGTTAAAAGAATTTGCATTTAAATGTTAGTCACATCATAGTAGTGTATAAAGATGTATGCAATTTACCTTTTACAGACACACAGGACACGCTAGTTTTAAACTTCTCTGCTTTGGTGTATATAAAACACACAAGCACAATAATTATAAACTATGAATATTTTAAACACTTTCTAGGTATTTTTATTAACTTGAAATTTTTATGTTAATTTTAGAAACTTCCTAAATATGGAAATAAGAATATGATTTGTAATTTCCAATTTGATTTTTTCTATAAACATATATATGTATATAACTTTTGAAATATTTTTAAATATTCCATAATAATAAATGGGTGAAATATATCAATATCAAGTCTCTTCTTAGTGCAGAACCACCTAAAAATAAAAATTATGTTTAATCAGTGGAAACATTTTTTTATGTTACAGTAATACGGGTTTTTTACTTCTCTGTAGATTTGATGTAGTTTATATTTATAATAAAAAAAAAAGTCGGCTGTAGTATAAAAGGCTTTTCTAAGAGGCAGCTTTCCCTAACTTTCAAAAATAAAGATAGCCATAAATATGTTGTTCACCTTAGGGTTACAATTGATACTTTTCTCTTATATGATGACTACATCTGTGTGAAGGCAACAGAATTGGATGTGCCTTTGTTACTGTGCTATACAAGAAATTGAAAAATCCTTATTTCTGCAGTTTTAAAAGTCATCTTTGTAAAACTAGGAGTATCAGAACTCGTGGCGCTTCTGATAATACTTGATTCTCCTGCACCTGGATAGCCTGGAAGTATTCATTTCATTAGATGTGAAAGTATGAATGCTTAGCTTGTTCAATTTCAACGATGTTTTCGCTGTTTCTTAGGCTTTTTTTCTTTTTTGCTTGCCTGCCCTCCTCCCCAATTTAAAGACCACATCTATGTATGCAAATCCAATAATAATGGGATTCTCTGTTTATCTAGTTCATTCACCACAACTAAATTCATAAAGAAAGTGCCACTATGTGGCCTGGTAGTTGAAGTTCCAATATCATACTAGAGGCATAGTAGGGGTAAATAGCCTTACATGGTCATTTGATTATTTCTGAACCAGTGACCCACAGATACACAAAATATTTAACCTTTAGACCTGAATAGCGAACCAAACACACTACAGTAGATTTTACCATTTTGATTTAATCCTGTATCTTCATCCAAGTCTTTATAGTTTCATTTACATGGTGCTTTTAGATGACAACATTTTCCCAACCATGAGGTAAATCGAAAGTTTTGAGTTTCCATTTATTTCAATTTCATGCAACTAGTGATGGGTATCTTATTCATGGGAGATAAATGTAGTTAGATATGTATAAGTAGATTCACACCATATTTTTAACTTAATACTTATTGCATATAAATTTGCATACATATAGATACAGAAATTTACATTTACTATTTTCTTTCACTGAATATACTTTTTAAAAATTCTACATTTTAATCATTAAAAATAACAGATAAGATGTGACTTTATTAGTATTGGTGTAGAATTTATTTTTAAATTAGAGAACTGATTTTATTTCTGAATTGAAAACAAAAGGTTTAGTGTTTTTGGTTAATTTTGCTGATATGTTATAAAAATATAGTAAATCAATAATTCTTCATTGAATATCTGCTTTTTAGACTATATCAAATAATATGATTAATGTGGTAGACATTGAAACTTACACATTCTCCTTTCTCTTAACACAATAAGTACTATACGTCTATCTGATTAAACACCAATCATCATCATATTGAACACTAAAATGAAAATCTTATGTTAAAATGATAGTAGAATCACATCATCTCAAAAATAGATGCTTATGCCAGGAGTGATGGAACACACCTTTAACCCCAGTACTCAGGACACAGAGGCAGGCAGAGCTCTGTGAGCGCCAGGGAAATGAGGGAGACCCTGTCACAAAAAACAAGGTTTTGTCAGCAGAAAATGACTTTTTCTCTTACAGAAATGAATGGATGAAAATATTTTCAGAATTTATCATAAATGCAGTTCACAAAATCAGTCAGGTCTATTGATTGCATAAAACACTTAATCGTTAAGCCTATCATTTGAGATATTCATAATCAAAAGATTAATTTTATATTTATTTACTAACTGTAGAAATTGATTCATTGAAGTTATAAAATGCAACCTTAGCCATTGTTTTTCCAGTTCTGCTTAGAGTATGTTTGTATGATATTGATTATTTTTATTTACTTTGAACACTATATTTTTTCACCTCCCTGACTTACTCACTGTTGTAACTTGGAAAATTATTTCTTACTTTTGTAAGAGTCAATTCAAGCATGCCTACACAGTGATATGTCCAAAACTCATCTCCACCACAGCAAACAATTTCGACATCTTTGATGCCCTTTCTTTTTCTATTGTCAATTTCTCTACTGGATAGAAATCTACCATTAACCTCCTGCTTTCTCTTTGAAATTCAATTAGTTCTACTGTGACATCTTCTTTAAAAATATGGAGGAGACTTTGCTAAATGTTGCATGGCCACCTGTAGAAATAATGCATTTATGTCCAATTTTATCATAATATCTCCATAGATTTGAGTGCAAACTACGCATGTACCAGTGTTATTATATCTTGTATAAATCTCATCAGCTCACACTTCCTTTTTAATATGCTTTGAAAGCTGTTTGACAAAAAGGATAACATGCATAGATAATATTACATAAAGATGATATTTCTATTTTTCTATTCTAGTTTAATACCTCCTCTTCAATATTTTCATGTGGGCATGAATACCATACTCAATCTGATGATTATGTCCACTATCTCTGGAGAAGTTTTCAGTGGAACATATGAACAAATATGGTTCCACTCAAATTCTTCTGATTCAGTTGGGTCTCTGCAAGATAGCACATCAACCACCTTATCACCAAATCTCTGCAACACATCAAATCAGCATACCAGGTGTCATTATCTGTACCTTCAGATCAATGATTTTTGCAAAGGACCTTTAAGTGCCATTTGTGTAGTACATTTTTGCTGATAAAACAAATTAAATTAGCACAACTACAAGTGAGCTGATAAAAACTAAAACTGAACAGCAGTACCATTAGCTAACAAAGTAATATTTTCTCTTTACTGCATTCTGCCATTTAGTTATTATCCTATTGGAAATCTAATTATAATCCTTTTTACTCCCTAGTCAAACTTCACAGTTTTTGCAAGCTTAGCACTGACAAGTGATTTCATTACATTTGATTGCCCGTGCCCAGATTGACTTAACTTCACTTGGAGACCTAAAAGCCCTCTCAGATTCTCAGATTCCCTGTTTGCACATTACTGCAACAGCTCCTTTAATTAATTAGCATGAGAAGCAGTAACATGAACTGCTGAATAGAAAATAACATCATTTTATGATCACAGGGAGACTGCTCTTTTTGCATGTTTATATCTTAGTTAACTTTTGTATGACTATAGTCATTCTTAGGGGTTACTGGTACAGTTGACAGTGCAAGATTCTTAAATATTTTTAATTCATATCACCATAATCTCAATAATAATATGTAAAAGAAACATAGGATATGAAGCTCCTAAATTTTATAAAATATATGACATTCATGAACATTCTAGTCATAAAATGAAACAATAAAATGAATTCAGACAAGATAACATCAAAAAGTACAATGGCACAGTGACACATTGTGTCGGTTCCTGCCACTCCATTTGTTTGAATAAAAAGAGAACAAAAATAGTCCTAGAGACTGATTTCTGTAAAGTGAAATAGTGTGTATGAATAATTTCTACCTTTTGTTATTTGGCAACATGTTTGGCAAATATAAGGGTTTTTTTCTATTGTTTTTCTATGAATACAAAGGAATCATCCATAATTTCCATTCATTTTGTTACTTGTACACTGGTAGATATCAAATGCAAAATATTTACTGAAATTAAAACTGTTTTGTAACAAAAAGGGTACCACCTTACAATTTTTCATCTACGGCTTTATTTTCAGAATGAATAGCTCATAGAAGTTTCTGAAAAACAGATACTGACCACTCAAGGTTATAAAATTCATGATTTCTTCCTAAATATGATGAGGAAGAATTACAAGCAAGGTTATAAAGTGCCATCTGGCTGCAAAAGGGGCAGACACGATGTTGAATTCTACACAATAAAAATGCACTAGGTTAAAAATCTTATTATGATATATATGTTACAGAAGTTATTATACACATGTTACAGAACTTTCTTGAAACTTAGTTTTTCTCTTTGCTTCTCAGTTAATGACTCACAAAATTTCTCCAGTTAAACATGTATGCCAATAATTACTATCATAATTACCCTTGTTGTAAAATTGTGGTTTTACAGTTTGGTGCAATAGTAAGGAAATTGATAATGTGACTACAAAAGATGGTAGGAAATTGCCCATTTCATATGATTTCTTACCATGAATATCATATGAATTTCTTTAAGGAGCTACTTTATTAATTCCCACCACAGTGTATTTTCAGTCTCTCCTTAGAGAGTCCAGTAACTGTTTTTTTTCCTAACCTTACCAATGATTAATTTCCTCCAAGTGATGTCTTGTACTGTGCTGTGACATATACACAGTCTCCCTAATGCTCCCCTTGAACGGTGAATATATTTGTCTGTAATTATATTCAGCACTTCAGACACTAAAGTGATTACAGAAGTGTTGTTTTTCTTAAGGACTTACTCTAAATGCTGTCTTTAAAATTAGGAGTCTTTAACTACATACAGAAACAT